AACCAACCAACCAAACAAACAAACAAACAAACAAAATATATTTATTGAGTTTACTAGGTTTCCAAGTTCTTATAATCATCCTCTTTCAATAATGGAAAGGAATGTATGTAGTCAAGAAATTTATCAAAAGTTTATTTTGCTGATGTTTAGGAATGAGATTACTGTATGTGTGCACATAGCATGAAATCACAGAAATCTCCTCAACCCTGCTGTTTTATAAAAAAAATACTTAGGCCACACCAATTTAATTTCTTGGTTAACGGATTCGCCGCTTCATTTTTTGCTGATTTGCAAATAAAAATAAAAATTCAGAATCAACTGCAAAATGCTCATATTTTGCCCTGAACAGTTGAAAACAGTCCTTTTCATCCTAGTTGTTACAGTTATTCCATCTTTCAATGCAATGGTATCATTAAAAGTTCAAAATTCATTGTTTAAATTTTGAACCAGCCTGGTGTGTTGACTTCATGGCTCCTATCGTACCATTTTGGGCCATAATAGGATGCCTAGGCCTGTTTTTATTTTTTATTTTTTTTCGCCCGCCCGCTCCATTATTTTTCTAGAAAAATCCGTTAACCAAGATATTAAATTGGTGTGGCCTTAGTGACATATAAAAAAGCACAGGCATATTGGACTCACAACTGGGCTGCAGGATGACTTACCTGTGTGGATTCCATGGAATGTTAGTGGGACGTTGCACCTCCGGGAAGAGGATGGACATGTCTGGCACCTTGTCTACTGCAAAGTGCATCTCACATATGGGTAACCTGGGAGAGGTGCAGCATCACGACAATAAGTAAACAAACAAAAAGATATACAGCTACATAATGTACACGGTAATGTCTATCCTGAACTATTAAATCATCCCTTGAGTCTATGTGCTACAAAGATTTAACAATTCAAGGCCTCAAACAAACAAATACTGTTAGACATTTTGTTTCACTGGACACTGTAAGAATATTGGACACTGAACAAGACTTTCCTGAAGGGGGTGAAAGAGGCTATTTACATCAGGGCCCATCACCCTTCACTCAACCGCCATGGGGGTCGACATTGTCTACCAGATATTACCTTTGACCCAGTGTTGACATCATACATGTACTTCAGAGAGGCCACGTTACAAGCATCACTGGGTCAGTCTACTGAGGAAGACCAGAGTGACTGGTTGAAAGCTCCAGGTGATAGAACTTTATTGTGTTGGATAATAAGTTTTAACTTTAAACAAATTCTATTAGACATTATCTATTATTTCAGTGCAAGAGCCTGATCAAACCTGTTGAGTTGTAGCTGCATCTCTGCCTTCATGTCCTTGTCTGCCATCAGCTTGAGGTCCGCCACACAGGTGGCAGACAGGCGCAGGAATATGAACCCCTTCCCCTTCTCCTCCACCACTGCCTCGTAGATAGTATCGGGAGACGAGTCCTTCCCCGCCATGGGCGCCAGCAAAACAGCCTGGACACTGGACACAAGTACCAGAGTTATCAACCAAGGATTGAGGTGTTCAAGAATTCATTATTTCCTAGAACTATCGCAGAGTGGAACTCGCTGTCACCAAGTACAGTAGAGGTATTGTCATTAGATAGCTTTAAGCAATGTCTAGAGTTAGAAGTTCAAGGGTTAGATGTAACAAGTCCTTCGGTGTAAGATAGACAGCTGCCACCGCGCCGCGTGCCTGCAAAGCTGATATGTTACGCTGAAGGGCGATTATACCGGATATACAGATACAGACAGATACAGAAGGGCTTTCCAGTTAGCATTGATGCTCTGAATAACTTTTTGGTTGTTGAAAGTAGATGATACTGAGTAAAATTACATCAGGGTAATATAAAATATATGACATTTACAGATGGCTTAAGTACACAGTATTTTCCACAAGTATGGCTGTTATCTTGCAAACCTCAAACAAAAAAGTAGTATGAGCATAATTTTTCTGTCAACCTTGCCAGGCGTGAATTGCTGAAATGTCAAACATTGCAATTTCCTGCCAAACTTTAAAAAATGAATTCCTTCAGCAAAGGTAACAGGTACATTGTTGTATATGCCTCTTGAATCCTTCTTCACAGTAAATACTTACCATATGAATCACTCCTGACTACTGACAATAAAAGGCAACCAAACAAATAAGTTAAGGCCCTACCTGTTGAGTATGAGTCTTCCTGCCATGGTGTCCTCTGACAGGTCTTCTATGAGTTTGACCCGTGAGTACAGCTCCCCTGACTGGGCGTACTTCGCCCCGCTGGTCCCCGGCAGCAGCATAAAACTCTTTACCAGCTGAAGCTGAACCTTCATGTTGAACCTGTCAAGGAACGGCCTTCAGTTATGTTTGCCTGTATAACATATATAATCTGTGCATTTTTTTCTACCCTGTACAATGATTTTCTGGAGAGGAGTGTTTTTCATTATCTACTACGGAGTCTTGGGCTTCTTCCCTCGAACACTATGGAACAAGCTACCACGTGATTGTTTCCCAAATGGGTATAACCTGACACTTTTCAAGTCTAAGGCCAACAAACATCTGTCCTCACTGGCTGCACAGTAACCCAAAACATTTGAGTAGCTCTCATGAGCCTTGTTTTGTGGTGAAGATGAAGTAAATAGAATTTTAAAAAAATAATAATAGACAGAAGTAATATCACATTATAAAAAGCAAGGTGATGCAATATTAATTTTCAAACCTTCAGGATATGTCCCGTACCATATAAAAATTTCAGAAAAATAGCCTTTAACTTTAATAAGCTTGACTTAAAGTGTACCTGCTGATCTCCTTGTACTGTGCCATCTCTTCAATGTACAGCAGGTCGTGCATCCGGCCCTTGTAGTTGTTCTTGGTCAGCGGCCCGTCCAGCACTTCTCGTGTAAACAGCTGATCGGGAGAGGCGGGCGGCGTGTAGAACGACATCAGGCCCTTGTCATTTTCCGTGGCGTCTGCCGGCTTGGGAAGGAACTCGATGATGGTCTTGTTGGTGTTGCTCCAGCGTTCCCCGACACACAACATGCTGTTTCGAACCTGTAGGAAAACACAGTAAGGACTGCATCTTACACACCCAATTTTAAAAATAATCTTCACAATTTTTAATTTCTTTCTTTTAATTTTTTTTATTTCAAAAAATAACAAAAAACACAAAGAAGTTCCAAGAAGATCTTGACAATTGCCCACAACACTTTCTCAACTAACAAGTACAAACATATTGTGTAAGACTACAGCATAATTATGCACAATGTAGGCTGAAATGTAGGACTGTCAGATCATTGTTATATCTAAATACAATAAATGCTAAAGTTACAAATAAATCTTGGAGTCAAATTTTCTGCATAAACACTACAATAACAGTGCATCAGAATTTCGCCTGTTGCAGACAACATCTTTTCCAACACAACATTTGAAAACTACAGATGGGATGTTAACCTTATATGTGCAAATATGACCTTAAATAAGACGTTCTGCCAAAGTGCTGTGCATAATACATTACGGGTTTTGTGCAGGTGCAGTACGTTCTGCCGATGTGCTGACTGTTCCGTACCTGATTTAGCCGGTTCATTTCTTCTGACGATGCCACGTCCACGCAGACTCGCTGCAGCAGCACCGGCTCCTGGCTGCCCCCGAAGTCGAACACGGCGGACTGGCGGAAGGTGCCGTAGATGCCGGTGTTGAAGCCCAGGCGGATGGTGTAGGTGACGGGGCTGGTGGGGGAGCCGGGCGGGTCGGTGCCGCTGGCGCTCCACTCCTGGCACATAGGCGGCAGGTTGTGACTGGTCTCCTGCTGGTCACCGTTACTCGTCACGCTCGCCAGGTGGAAGTGTGACCGGTGCACGTCATACAGGAGCGCCACGCGGGACAGGTACACTCCAGGCTGGGGGGGGGGTGGAATTCGGAGGGAAAAAAAATTTAAGACAAGTACACAAACAGTTAGAGCGGGTTCAAACAATCACTCCTCATTTTGTCATCTATCAATGATAAAAACATGTGCAGACTGTAATAGGTTAATGTAGTGATTAAGTGAGA